CCACCATCCTGTGCAGAGTTGAACTGACAACCTTATTGTTAGGAGCATGTGCTCTGACCAGCTGAGCCATCCTGCCACCTGTTGGCAGCTCAGTGGCAGCTCAGCTTGGGCGCAGCTCACTGGCCCATGTGGGAATCGAACCAGCGACCCTGTTGCTCAGAGATTGCACTCTTAACCAACTGAGCCGCTCAGCCAGCCCCCCAAAAAGCTTTTTAAATAATGGATTTGAGAGGCTGAGCCTGGTGGCTTTCTCCCTGGGTCTTGTTCAGGCATCAGCCCTTGGGTCTTCCTGCCTGTCTGCCTAACGCTTCCCAAGGGGCTGGTGGAAGCCCCTCAGCCTGCCCCCCTCATCCTCTGCTCAGCACCCCCACCCTGGATGCAGGTTCTGTGACCTGGTCTGCACAGAGCCTTTGTTAGGGCCCTAGGAGGCGCTGCTCTGTTTGCAGTTCCTCCGTCTTATTCACGTCTTTCGTGGGCGTCTGCTGTGCGTTGGGGTCTATCCTGGTGCAGTAGGAACACAGCGATCATGTCTTGTGCTGAGGAGAGAAACGAAAGGCACAGGAAGCGGAACCTCAGGAAGACCTGGGCTCACGACTGTCCTGCCCCAGTCCTTTCTCGAATGGTCAGCCAGGGTTTTCCTGGATGGGGTCCGTGGGGTCACCTGGAACCTCCCTGAGGACGGAGAGGCAGGCTGGAGTGGGTTCTGCGTTCTGGTGTGTGAAGGGCTTGATGCGTGCTTGGGGGGCCGAGGGCAGTGCCCCAATGGCCTCAGCAGCATGGGGCGGACGCAGTAGTGCTGCCCGGGGCCGTGGGGGGCTCGAGGTCCTGGCTGAGGCGCCTCCTTGGCTGTGCAGAGAAACTAGACGAGATCCTGGCAGCTGCCACGGAGCCCACACTGAGGCCAGACATCGCGGATGCCGACTCAAGAGCTGCTACCGTCAAACAGCGGCCGACCAGCCGGAGGATCACCCCGGCGGAGATCAGCGTAAGCTGCCTGGGTGGTGGGGAGTGATGCTGGGCAGGGCATGGGCATGGGCATGGTGCACTTTCTGGGGTGGGGGTCCGTCTTTTGTACCCCACTCTCCAGGTGTGGTTGTGAAGGACCCACGGCTTCTCCTGGAGACACTGGGGGCCATCAGCCCCCAGAATGCCCCCAGTTGGACATGTGTTGCGTTCTCATTCCTCTGGCTGTGCCTTCTGCCTGAGGCAGGTTCTGTGCCACACCAGTCAGGATCAGCTAGGGCACCCTGTTCATGCCACAACATGGGGTGTCTGTCCCCCAGCCCACTTCTCCCACCTGGCGCCTCTGGGCTGCTCCCCCAGCCTCACCGGGCCGTGCCCAGGGCCAGTCTGCTCTAGCTGTGTCTGCATCAACCCCACACAGCACTGCCCAGGCCCCACCAGCTGTGCCCCTGCTCTTTGGACGTGGGCACCCCAGTGCCAGCACCATTGGAATTAGTGCATGGGGTGTCTGATCTGAGGCTTAGGAAGAGGATGGTGGGGCTGGGTGGAGAACTGGGAGTCCCAGGGCCCTAGGACCTCCATATGCGCTCCCCGACCCCCACAGTCACTGTTTGAGCGCCAGGGCCTCCCAGGCCCAGAGAAGCTGCCGGGCTCCCTGCGGAAGGCCATTCCACGGACCAAGTCTGTAGGTACGGCTGGGCTGGGGGATGCACGTGGCCGGGAGGAATGGGGTGGGGGTGGGGCAGGAGGACCCTCTGCCTCCCCTCCTACACCTGGGTTTCCAGTTTCCTTGGAGCCCTGCCTTCCCGGGCCCCAGCCACAGGGTCTTATGTATTAGTGGACACAATGTGGGCGGCGGGGTGGGGGGGAGGGGGGTGTCTTTCCCCAAACCCAGAGACACTTTGCTGACACAGACCCTTGAGTCTCCCCCCATACCCATCCACCATTCCCCATCCTGTGGACATCCCCCCCAACCACTACTCTTGGTCACCCCATCCATCTGCTGTCATCCTGTGGGCACCCCATTCTCTGCTCCCATCCTGTGGGCACCCCCTCCTATCTCTCCCACTGACACCAGCATCCCATCCCTGAGTCTTCTGTCTTCTATCCTGGATGCCCAAGTAAATGCCATGTTTCTGGTCCTAAAGCTACCCTCCCCTCGAACCTGCCACCTCCCCCCGCCCCCCAAGTATTGCTCAATACCTGTCCTGTCCTTCACAACCAGTTTTCTCTGAAGTCACCTGGACTTGTCTCCCATCCCCCACCTGCTCTGTCTGTACCTAAAACTGAAATTGCTCCCATCAGACTCACCAGTGGTTTCCAGGGCTTTGCTCCCAGTGGACGCTTGACCAGCCCTCCTCTTTCTGACCTCAGTTAGCGTTTGATTTTTCTGCTTCCTGGTCCATGAAACTCTTCTCCCAGTTTTCCCCTCAGTTTTCAGCAACACCTGTCCAGTGTTCCTCGCCCCCACTTCCCCCCAGCAATGTAGATCCTTCTCAAGGCTGTGTCCTGAGTCTCTGCTTTCTGCACCTGTTTCCTGGGGACCTCATCACACCCCAGCCACTGTCACGCCCCACATAGGGCCATCTCCTCTCTGAGCCCAGGCCTGGGCATCTAACAAGCCCCACCCACTACCGATTCCTCTAGGCATCCAGTTCCCCTCACCTGCTCACCTGTCTATGTATCCACCCACAGACCTGTTTGCTTTTCTGTCCATCTGTCCACCTGTCCATCCATCCAGCATGTACACCTCACCCCAGTTGTCAACCTGTTAACCAGTAAATGCCCATTCAGCACTTGGTCCAGCTCTGTTATGCTGCTTCCTGTGATACCAAGAGGAACCCTGTGGAGGTAACCCTACTAGTGCCTCCATGTACAGGTGATGGAATGGAGGCAGAGGTCAAATGACTTGCCCAAGGTCACACAGCTGCCTCACCTGTCTTCTCTTCACCCATCTGGCCAACCAGCTACCCAAACCCCAATGCTTCATTCATCCCAGGACCCCGGATGATGGGTGCCCACTCTAGGCTGCCCCTGGGCCAGGTGTGGGGGCTCGGTTGGGGGAGGTGACCCGTGTGCAGGCAGCTCAGCTCAGCAGTTACATGGTGAGTGTGAAGGAGCATGTACAGGTGGAGATGACGGGGCACCAACCACACTGCGGTGTCATGGAAGCCTGGTGGGAGGGGTGAGCTTAGACATGTAGGCGGAGTGGGGGTTTCTGGGAGATAATGGGTGAATTGCTACTAACTGCCATCCATTGTGTGTGGCATGGTCCTTGAGGGGCTGCTGTGGGTCATTTCTGTAGGTGGGAGGGTGGGGACGAGGGTCGATGACACTGCAGCTACTTTGGAGCCGAGAGGCACTCTCCCTCCACCCCCAACATCCCTCCCTAAGACCTGGGTGTCCTGCATGGTTTCCTTACTCTCTGCTTCCCAGACAAATCGGGGGTCTGCCTTCTCCCCACCTTTACAGCCCAGCCTGGCCTCCGTGTCGCCTGCACCACACAGCTTTGGTCTCCTCATGGCCTCCTGCCCCAGCTTCACCTACTAGTCCATCCCTCTGGTCAAATGGGGCCTTCTGCAGAGCAGACAGCACGCTCATCCCCCCAGGGGACCCTCTGTGGCCTTCTTGTTGCCTTGGGGTCCTTGTTGCCCAGCCCTCTCCTGCTTCCTCATCTGTCTCTGCCTCCCTCTCACCTGCGTCTACCAGCACTCACTGTTGTCCACCTGCCCTCACTCTGCCCAGGCCTGTCCCTCAGCCACAGCCAGCCCCAGGACTGACAGGTCCAGACCTAAGTGCATGCCCAGCAGGACACAGGCCCTGGTGGGGGTTGCAGCTCTTCCCCACTTGCTCCTCCCAGACCTCCTCCTGTGCTCGGGCCGCAAGCGAGCTCAGAGGGGTTCGTCTTGAATTCCTCTTGCCTTGACTTGTGCCTGCCGCCAACACGAACGTTGACTTGTCTGGGGCTCCTACCCCTTGGTCCTGGCTGTGTGGTCCTGGGCACACTGTGAGGTCCTTGAAACCTCAGGGTCCTGACCCATAAACATGGGGACCATCTAGAACTTACCTCCAAAGCCACTGCGAGGCTCCCCAGGGGGCTGCACCCGCAGGCTGCTCATGTTCATTGGCACAGGGCCAGCGTCTCGGGCCAGCCCAGCAGGTACTGGGGGGAACGCTCGCTTCTGCAGTCAGGGCAGAGGGCCCTACCCCACCCCAGATGGCAGCAGGACAGACCCCATTTCATCCCAAGGCCAGTGACTTGTCTTCACCCCAAGTTAGAGCTTGGTACGCCAGACCTCTTGCAGCCCCCAGAAGCACCAGCCTTCCCTGCGTGGCTGACTCACACGGGCTGCTGGGAGTTTATCTGCTGCACAGGATGCAGCGGGGGGAGCCCAGGCACTGCCCTGTGTCCAGCAGTGGGGGTGGAAGGCAGACCCCATGATGACGACGACGACCTCAGCCGCCCACCTGGGCCGCTTTGAGTGCTTGGCCCTGTGCTCAGCTGTAATGACTCCAGCTCACACAGCCCCACAACCAGGCAGGCGAGGCCTCTGAGCTGAGAAACGAGTGCAGGAGGTTAAGGAACACACAACACAGTCTCTTCACACAAAAGCCCACCCTTGCTGTACCGGGGATCCAGGAGCTTTACGCAGGACAAGACGCAAAGACGTGGGAGGCCTGGTGACAGCACTGCTGGCTAAAGGAGGAGTGGTTGGGGATAATTGTGGTGCGTTCATAAAAATATAACCCAGCCCAGAGTGAGGCCATGGTACTACCTGAGACCTGTGTGTATCAGGCCATTCATCCACTCTTCGGGACTGAGCCATCCACCTGCAGCCTCACTGAGCACACCTGCAGCGCAGGTGTCCACATGGTGTTCACACGGAGGTCCTGCCAGGTTCTAGCCGGGCCGCAGGAAGACGAGGGCCCTGAGCACTCCAGCCCTGCTCTCACACGGACCCTAATGACCTCTGAACAAGGCAGGCAGAGTGGGGTTCACTTTAAGTTCGTGTTGCCCCTGAGAGTGGAGGCTCAGAGGGGCTCAGGGGCTGGCCTGGGGGCCACACAGCCAATAGGGAGTAAAAGTGAGTCATGTTAGGTGAGCCTGCAGTTCCATTGAAACCCTCCCTCCCACCAGACCTGACTGAATTTCAGTCACTAGGGTAACAGCAGTGGCCTGGCAGCCTCTCCCGGTCCTGTCTCATCCACGTGGCTCTCTGGGCTTCACTTTCCCCCCCGAACACCCTCACCAGGGCATCAGCTCTGTTCCTGCCAGAGGCATGGCTCCACTGGCCACAGTCCTGCTGTCCCCTTCCCCACGATGCATCACTCCTGTGGGAGAGTCCCCCTCATTTCTGACCGTCTCTCGTCCTCCTGCCTCTGGGAGCCACCAGGCCTCCCAGAGACACCTGCTTGTTCCACTGCTGGTGGTTCTGCGATGTGCTGTTTTGGGTGGGAGGCCCTGCACCGGCTCCCCAGCTCTTCTCTGCCATTCTTCCCAATTACTGGGGTGACCCTGTCCTCTGGGGTGTCTCCTTGGTCCCTTTCAAGGCCCCGGGGCTTGGCCAGGTCTTGGCCCCAGCCACGGGTAGTCAGTGTGGGTCCTTGGTCAGAGCCTCTGCTGGTGGGACCGTATACCCTGTATCTGAACTGGTATCTGTCCCAAATTTTGCAAGACCCCTCCTGAACCAGCACGGGGCTTGGGGCGCAGGTCTTGAGCACCCAGGGAGGAACCTAGCCTGGGGAGTCTTGCTCAGATCGCCTGCTCCCAGCCCCCTGGGTGCGTCCTGCCCTCCAACCACAGCCCCCACACCCGGTCTGATCCTGTCCTCCGGGTCGGGCTAGAGCCTCGCTGCTGATTTATAAGGGACGTCCTGGCAACTCCTGCGACCGGCACCGTGGCTGCCCTGTGATGGAGTCGCGGCAGGGTCGGCCTCTGCGGAGGGCGTGCGCCGGGTCCGGAGGGGGCGCTGGAAGGCATAGGCCCTGGCGCCTCGCGGGTCTCACCGGAGCCTCTGTCCGCAGGGGAGGATGAGAAGCTGGCGTCCCTGCTGGAGGGTCGTTTCCCGCGAAGCACGTCCATGCAGGACTCGGCGCGCGAGGGCCGCGGCATCCCACCCCCACCGCAGACCGCGCCGCCGCCCCCGCCCGCCCCCTACTACCTGGACTCCGGGCCGCCCCCCGCCTTCTCGCCGCCGCCCCCGCCCGGCCGCGCCTACGACACGGTGCGCTCCAGCTTCAAGCCCGGCCTGGAGGCGCGCCTGGGCGCGGGGGCCGCGGGCCTGTACGAGTCCGGCGCGCCCCTGGGCCCGCTGCCCTACCCGGAGCGGCAGAAGCGCGCGCGATCCATGATCATCCTGCAGGACTCGGCGCCCGAGGCGGGCGACGTCCCCCGTCCCCCGCCAGCGGCCACCCCGCCAGAGCGCTCCAAGCGCCGGCCGAGGCCGCCGGGCCCCGACAGCCCCTACGCCAACCTGGGCGCCTTCAGCGCCAGCCTCTTCGCGCCGTCCAAGCCTCAGCGCCGCAAAAGCCCGCTGGTGAAGCAGCTGCAGGTGGAGGACGCACAGGAGCGCGCGGCCTTGGCCGTGGGCAGCCCGGGCCCGGTCGGCGGCAGCTTCGCCCGCGAGCCCTCTCCGACGCACCGCGGTCCTCGGCCCAGCGGCCTCGACTACGGCTCCGGGGACGGCCCCGGGCTCGCGTTCGGCGGCCCGGGCCCGGGCAAGGACCGGCGGCTGGAGGAGCGGCGCCGCTCCACTGTGTTCCTGTCGGTGGGCGCCATCGAGGGCAGTCCCCCCAGCGCCGACCTGCCCTCCCTGCAGCCTTCCCGCTCCATCGACGAGCGCCTCCTGGGGGCTGGCGCCGCCACTGGCCGCGACTTGCTGCTGCCCTCCCCCGTCTCTGCTCTGAAGCCATTGGTCAGCGGCCCGAGCCTTGGGCCTTCCGGCTCCACCTTCATCCACCCCCTCACCGGCAAACCCCTGGACCCCAGCTCGCCCCTGGCCCTCGCCCTGGCAGCCCGCGAGCGGGCGCTGGCCTCCCAGACGCCCTCCCGGTCCCCAACACCCGTGCACAGCCCTGACGCGGACCGCTCTGGGCCTCTGTTTGTGGACGTTCAAACCCGCGAGGCTGAGCGAGGGGCCCTGGCCTCCCCAGCCTTCTCCCCGAGGAGCCCAGCCTGGGTCCCCGTGCCTGCTCGCAGGGAGCCGGAGAAAGCTCCCCGGGAGGAGCGGAAGTCGCCGGAGGACAAGAAGTCCATGATCCTCAGTGTCCTGGACACGTCCCTGCAGCGGCCAGCTGGCCTCATCGTTGTGCACGCCACCAGCAATGGGCAGAAGCCCAGTGGACTGGGTCCCGAGGAGGAGCCCCCCGGCACCCCAGAGCTGGCCCCAGCACCCACACAGTCAGCAGTGGTGGCAGAGCCCCTGCCTAGCCCCCGGGCCCAGCCCCCTGGTAGCACCCCAACAGACCCTGGGCCAGGCCAGGGCAGCTCAGAGGAGGAGCCAGAGCTGGTGTTCGCAGTGAACCTGCCCCCTGCCCAGTTGTCCTCCAGCGATGAGGAGACCAGAGAGGAGCTGGCTCGCATTGGGCTGGTGCCACCCCCTGAAGAGTTTGCCAATGGGGTCCTGCTGGCCATCCCACTGCCCGGCCCAGGCCCCTCACCCACCACGGTGCCCGGCCCGGCCTCAGGGAAGCCAAGCAGTGAGCTGCCCCCTGCCCCTGAGTCTGCAGCCGACTCCGGGGTGGAGGAGGCCGACACACGCAGCTCCAGCGACCCCCACCTGGAGACCACAAGCACCATCTCCACGGTGTCCAGCATGTCCACCCTGAGCTCCGAGAGCGGGGAGCTCACCGACACCCACACCTCCTTCGCCGATGGACACACTTTTCTACTCGAGAAGCCACCAGTGCCTCCCAAGCCCAAGCTCAAGTCCCCGCTGGGGAAGGGGCCGGTGACCTTCAGGGACCCTCTACTGAAGCAGTCCTCGGACAGTGAGCTCATGGCCCAGCAGCACCACGCCGCCTCTGCCGCTGCGCCTGCTCGTCCTCGCTACCTCTTCCAGAGAAGGTCCAAGCTGTGGGGAGATCCCATGGAGAGCCGGGGGCTCCCCGGACCCGAAGACGACAAACCAACTGTGATCAGTGAGCTCAGCTCCCGCCTGCAGCAGCTGAACAAAGACACACGCTCCCTGGGGGAGGAACCCGTCGGTGGCCTGGGCGGCCTGCTGGACCCAGCAAAGAAGTCGCCCATCGCGGCAGCTCGGTGAGCAGAGCGGTGTGGGGAGGGTCCTGTCTGATGTCCACGGGCCTCCCCGTTCTCCCTCTTGTCCAGCCATGGCTCTCTCTGTCCCACCCCTCCCTGTCCTCCCCCCAGCCCTCCTTCACTTCTCCGTCCTTTATCTGGCCTTGCTGTGTCTGTCTGAGACAGAAGGCCCTCAGGAACCTGAAACACCAGGGCCCCTGTCCTCTCGGTCCCAGTTGGTGCTGAGAGGGAGCCAAGCACCCATCAGAGACCCAGGCGGTGCATGAGCCTGGAGGCTGGTTGCCCAGGGGTTCCTGCAGCTCCCACCCTCACTCCCCACCGAAGCCGCCTCTATCATTAAGGGCCTTTTCTGGGGTCCACTCTGGAGTTGCACCCTCTCCCCAGCTATGTGGCTTTTCTGTGGCCCTGGGCACTCCCCCCATCCTCCCTGTGGCCACGTGGCTGCCCTGTGTGGTTGGTGCCACCTTTCTGTAGCTGCCTCCTGCCTCGCTTCCTTTTTCTTTTGGGACCCACACCACCTATCTACTTTCTGCCCCAGAAACATCACTCTCAGCACCACCTCAGAGTTCCTGAAACAGACTCCTGTGTGTTTTTGAACGCACGTTAGGAAGCCAATCTTAGATGGAAGTCACACCACCACCTTTCTGCACCCCCACCTGCCTTCCTGCCTTCTCCGTACCTCTACACCACTCCCCTGTCTGTCCTGCCCAGGTTGGGGACTTGAAGAGGCCATACTGTGCCCTGGAAATGGGGGGAGGGAATGCTCTGGCTGGGCAGAAGTTTTCAGAGCCCCTGGGCTGATCCCTTGGGTCTTTTCTTGAGGACCCCATGCCCAAAGCTCCACCCTCACAGGGCACCCCTGTGGGTTCCATGGATGCTATTGGCAGAGGTGGTTCCTGTCCATGAGTGCTGGTCTGAGGCAGAGCTGTCACCCGCCCTGGCAGGCCTGTCTGCCCTGTCCAACTGCCTTTGCCTTCTGTGCCCCTTAGGACCTCCCTTCTGGCCTTGGGGGGAGTGTGTGCGGTGCCACCTCCTGACTTCCTTGCTGCCCTGAGGACCAACATGGAGGGCTCTTTCCTGTCCACCTGGAAGGCAGAGTTTAGAAAGTAGTGAGAGATTCAGGTCTTACAAGGGCTTATCTGATTTACCTTCTTCCAGTTGAGGACTCAAAAGATAAGTGGGGGCTAGGGAAGCTCACAGTGCCCCCTGAGGGGTCCAGGAGTGTGGCCCTCCAGCTGTCATCCAGAGCCTTATTCTGGGGCCCTCACCCCTTTTTGCTTCTTCCAACTCCCAGTTAAATTAGAAAGCTCTGTTCCCAGTGTTGAAAGAGCCTGTAGAGTGGGCACTACAGGGTGTGTCCAGTGGTGTCCAGTTGGGATGAGCCACCTGGGTCCCAGGCCTCTGCAGGACCAGATCCCTGGGGTGGGATGGGTGTGGAAGTGGTTCCTGGACACGGCCGCAGCCGGTGCCCATCCTCTCTGCTTCTCTCCCTGCCAGCCCTCTCTTCCTCTGTGCCCCTTGGTCCTGGTGAAAATTAAAGCCATTTAACGTGGGTAGCACAGCACTCGGCACAGTGCAGACCCTCAATAAACATTTGCTAAACGGACGAAAGAACGACGCTCAGTGCAAGTGCTGTCTTTTGTGATTTGAGACCTAGGGAGGCGGCTCAGGACAGATGCCACAGAAGGACAGACGCATGTTCAGGGTCACTGGGTACGGAGCCCCTGTGGTCAGGCTCAGGTGAGCCCAGATCTTGTCAGTTGCTCTGCTGGCTCGTGGGGTGGCTGGGGCAGTCACAGGGCAGGATGGCGGTGATTCCTGAGTGGGCGTCTCCCACCACGCCCCTGTCTGAACTCGCCTTCTGCTGTCGTCTCAGCATCTCTCCTCCATCAGGCTGAGGGGCTCTTGTCTCCGGGCTCTGGGTCGCGCCAGGACCCTGTGCTGCTTCTCTTTCTTGGACCTGATGTCGGGAAGGGCACGGCCTTTGCATCCCACTGGAAAGCTAGCCTCTCTCCGAGTCATTCCTGCCAAATTCCAGTCTCTGGTTGGCTTCATGGGGGCCCATGCTTTCCCCTGAACCGGTCACTAGAGTCGGGGAGACAGGGCTGCTATTGGCCAGGCCTGGGTCACATACAGGAGCCAGGCATGGGGTCAGCCCACCCAGCGAATCTCCACAGAAAATCAGGCACTGTTACCAGAGGCACCAGGTGCCAGACAGCCTAGAACAGATGTCTCTTGTGACATGGCCTCACCAACTAGGGCAGCTCACTTCATTCCCTGATATCGGCTTGGGGTCTGATGGCCCTGGATTTCTGCCCTCAGCAAGTGGCCTCTGAGCTCTGTGGCCTTGGACAAGCCACTTGTTCCTCTCTGCAGTGGTGAGGGTGACACGCACTGCGCACGGCTGTAGCTCGGTGGGCCCCCTGCCGGGCGAGTGCCATCTTTGCCGTCGTGCGCGCTGAGGCCCTCAGCAGCCCCTAGGTTATGTCAGAACATCCTTGTTCTGGAACATACACGAGGCTGTCGAAGCTCCTTCATCCTCACACCCATTCTGTTAGCTGCACAGTCCTGTCGTCTCCATTTTCCAGATGAAGAAACGGGGGCTCTAACCAGGTCCATTGCAGCCTGTAAGTGGTGGCGTCTCTCTGACCCCAAGCCCAGCTCTCTGTCCTCCCTCTGCCCACTGTCATCTGGAGTCTCTGTCCTTAACCTTCTTCTGGTGACAGACTCTGGATTTGTGCACAGTGACGCCCTCGCATAAGCGTGCTGACACTGCATAGTCAGGCGTGTAACACATGCATGCGTGTTGTGAGATCACTGCGTGAGCCCAGCTCTCGGGCTGCCTTTCGCTCTGTGTTTCCTTCTGCTCTGTTCACACTTCTTTCCTCCCACACTCAGACCTGGGAGAAACCTCGGCCCTCTGGGGGGCCCGCCGCCCTCAGGTGGGGCGTGAGCAGGGCTGTGCTAGCAAGTCAGCCATCCCTGTGGCCGGCTCTTTTTCTGTGACCGTGGTGGCCAGAGCCCGGCACTCATCTCTCATTCAGGAACAACAGCACTGCTGATGCTGACTTTTTGAGACAATTCCTTCCTAGGGCTGTTCGTGGCAGAGGCCCCAGGGCAGCTGCCACAGCCACCTGGAGCGCCACACCTCTGCACCTTGTCCCTGGTCCCCCATGTGTCCCTTTGATCCCATCTCCAAGGCCCGCCCCTGTCTGCCCACCTTCCCCACTGATGGCTCAGCCCAAGCTCCACAAGGTGCCTGAGGTCTTTCTGGGCAAGTTAGCTGCCCGTATGTCACAGACTTGAAGCTCAACGGCTTGTGGAAATGACGGCTTATCTGCACAGGCGCCTTCTTTGGTTTTGGGTGCAAGGTCCAGGGCTTTTGGCTTTCTGGGACATTGACCCCGGACCACCCATCTGCTCTGAGCTCCATTTGTCTTCCAGGCCCCACGGTTGTGGCCTGGGGTCACCGTGCCACTCAGTTTTACTGTCTGACTCTCACATGCAGTGTTATGGGGAAAGGCTCACAGTGAAGTAGGTTTGGAAACACACAGGTGCAGCGGTTTCTTCCTGCCGTGCTTCTCAGAGCCTTGGGCATCTTGGCTTCTGTGGTCTCACGCCTTCTGGGTCTCAGGTAGCTTTACTAGTTTGTATGTCCCAGAAGCTCCTATGACACTGCAGAAATCTGGTGACCTGCGTGGGCCTTGTCCTGCTCACACGCTTGTCAGGGACCTGGAGAAAGCCCCTGGGACCGCAGGCACCTCAAGGCCAGCGGGGCTGGGCCCTCTGAAACCTGGATTGACCCTGTTGTGTGTGGCTGAGATGGGGTGCTGGGGCCAGGATGTGCCCCATCCTTGCAGGTCACACGAGGTTGGGGACATGTGTTGTACCCCCCAGGAGATGTGATCGGGGCTTCAGGAGCCCTGAACTCTGCCGGGGAGTAGGAAGGGTCCGCAGGGGGGTGTTAGGGACTTTTGCAGCACACCAAGCTTGGGCCCTGCAGCGGTAAGCGAGAAGCAAGCTGCTACCACCAGAGGTCGCTGTGGCGCCCACGAGCCTGTATGTCCTTTAGTCTTCCTGTGGAGGACTGTTCCCAGGTGACCCAAGGCCTCGCTCAGGCACCCGCATGAGTGCCCCAGAGAAGGCCCCAGGCTCAGAGCAGAGGCCAGGGCCAGAGGCTGGACTTGTTTTGCCCATTGGTAACGGGACCAACGAATAGTCAAGCCTGGGAATGACATGTCATTATTTTTTTTGGACGACATTTTTTTCAGGGCAGACTGTGTTCTTGGCTTTGTGCTAGGTACCAGGAGTCAAGGGGGACAGTGAGAAAGTGAGGTGACAGGTCCTGAGTGACACTTTAAGGTCTGGGTCCAAAGGTGGCTGCGGGCTGAGGAGCAGGGCCTGGGTTAGTGCTGGGAGCTGGTTACCTGTTAGTCTTGGGCAAGAAAACGTGGAGATGCTGAGGGTGGCTCCCAGGCCCCTGGACAGGGAAGGGCTGGGGAAGGGAGGGCATGTTTGGAGACCTGGCAACAGTCTGGATGGAGCTCAGGAGACCCTGGCTGGGCCTCACACGTGGCAATCTTGGGCCCCTCGGCCATTGAGAAGGGTGTGAGTGGACGATATGGCCCAGGAGAAAGTGCAAACTAAGAGGGGAGTTCCCCATGTGGGGCAGAAGGGGAAGAGGAGAGAGCACCTTAAAGGAAGATGGGGGGACAGGCCAGCAAGGCGTCCTGCTGACAGCCTTGGTAGCTGGGGGCAGGGCATGAGGCCAGACCCCATGGCCAAGGACTGAGGAGCAAGCGAGACAGTACGAGGTGCAGAAGTTGGTGGGGCCAGGGCCTTGCTCTGCCGCCGGAGGCCTCGGGAGGGATGGTGCCTGCGAGGTGTGCTAGCGGGTGACAGCCCAGAAGCCCTTTCAGAGGCTGACAGGTGCTGTGACGTGGCCATACCGTGGTTGTGGAGGTGATCAGAAAGCTGAAAGCGGCGGTGGACAGTGCTGGGCTCCTGCCTTGGGGAAGATGCGGCAGTCCTGTTCCCCACGAGGAAAGGAAGGGGGGGCAGACACCTGGGCCACGGGCCCCCGCCCCTCCCTGCTGTGCCCCGGGCCATTCCTTTGGCTCTTCTGCTAGGCCATCTCCAACTTTTGCTTTGGGCTGTCCCCCCACTCCCAGCCCAGTGGAACGTGGCCCTTCACTCGTAGCACCTCCTGGCACCAGCCTCTGGCCGGTGCCTCTGGAGCGAGCCCCTCATGCCAGGCCTCCAGCTCGGCCCACCAGGCAGGAGAGCTGCCCAGACGCTGGGGTCAGGCCAAGCCCCTGCCCTGCTGCCTTCATGGCATGGCTGTGGTCCTGCCAGTTCCTCAGTGTGCTTCTGTCACAGCCGAGACTCCAGGCACACTGAAAGGGCTGCGCTGAGCCTGGGTCTTCGGGGCGGGCAGGGTCCCATCCTGATGCAGGCCCCAGCCGGGTCGTGGTGTGAGGGCCCTGATGGCGGCCGACTCGGCCCAGTCCCAAAGGCCCCGCTCCTCAGCCTCTCCCTAGCAATCGTCACCCCCTTGGTCATCCTCCACTGCCCTCACTGTTGCCCCCTGGTGGCACGGAGACCGTGTGGTGGAGCAGGGAGGGTCTCTCCTGCTTGTTGTTGTTCCCTGGGGCCACCCCAGGTGTCCTAGGAGCCCCCTCACCGCGGCAGGGTGTGGTCTGGCCTCTTCAAGAGGCTCCACTCTGGGTCTGAGCACTTGGGAGGGAACAGCAGGGACAGGCTGAGGGGAGGGCCAGTGGAGGGCGGTGGGCACATGGACTGGGAAGGGCTACCCCTGCACAGGCGGGAGATAGGGCACAGCCTGCTTGGAGAGTGAGGGGAGGGAGAGAGGACGCTGAGGGCTGCCCATGCGTGTGGGTGGGCCCAGGGCAAGGTAGCAAGGTGGGCGGGGGACCCAGAGGAGGGGCCTTTGGCCCAGCCCAGGAAGGGGCAGCCGGAGGGAGGCCAGACAGCAGCCAGTGTAAAGGGACACAACACACCACCAGACGCAAGGTGTCTGCTGAGCACTTGCCACACAGCGTTCTGCATAAAGCCTGTGTTCGCACTGCTGTGGGCTGCCCTTCACACACTAGAGGACAGTCATGCCGGCAAACCAGGAGCCCACCCAGGTCTGCCCAAGCCTGGCCTGCACCCCCTGCCCCCAGCAGCTCTAGAGTGGCTCCCTGCCATTACGTCTGGGCCCAGCACACCTGAGCTCCGCCTACACCAGGCGGCGAGGGCTCCCAGCACCTGGCCCTTCCCGTGGCCGTGGCCGTGGCCGTGGCTGCTGCCGCCGCCCCACTGCTCCCTTCTGCCTACCTGCACGTGGCTGCGCGTTTGCTGAGTGCCAGCTGTGTAAGTGAGCGTGCCCACCCCATGCCTCTCGCTGACCAGCACCTGCCCCCTGGCTCTCCCTCTGCTGGCTGTGTGGAGCTTCAGTGACACTGGAAGTCTCCTGAGGCTTCTCGGCCGCAGTAGGGGTTGGGGTAGGGGTATGAGAGTTGGCTTTCTCTGGGGGGGGTCGCCCATGCATGCCCCCTGTCATGGCCAGGCTGGCGAGAGGCTGGAGGTCTGTGGTCCCGTCGGGGATGTTGGGCAGCGAGGCACCATATGTGTATTTGTGTTGTGTGTTTGTGTGTGTGTGTGTGTGTGTGTACATGTATATGTGTCTGCACACACGTGCTGCTGTGTCCCTGTCATGGGCAGGCTCCTGCCACTGTAGCCACATGTGTGTGACACGTGTGGGTGCTTTGCTGCTGTGCTATCCTGTGCAGGGAGGCTGAATGTCATAGGTGTGTCCCTGCCTCACACCTGTCCTGCACGTGCTGCTCTTCCGTGTGGGCGTGAACAGTCCTGGTGTCTGTCCCTGACGTCACTAGCTTGTTTAGTCTTGTGCTGCTGCCAGCCTTCACCATGGCCCAGCCACCCCTCAGCCAGCCCAGGCTTCCCTGGACCTCCCCTGGGAGCAGAGCTGTGTGTGGGCAGTGCCGGGGGACCTGCCAGTCTTTCCCTCCAGGCTTGTTGGAGGGGGCAGTGCCCAGAGGCAGCTTCCCTGGCTGTCAGGAATGGCTAGTCAGCCTTTGCAGTGAGAAGCTGCCTTTCCTCTGGCGGTCTGGTCTTGGAGCCCACGGAGACAGGAGGGGTCTGTGGGGGGAGGGGCGAGGAGGGGCTGCCGGTTTTATTTCTCATTATTCCATGCAGTCTAGGGGTGCCCCCCCCCCCGCCAGCAGGGCGCTGGTCTGACCATGGGGTCCCACCCTCCTTCCTCTGGTCTTGAGGCTATACCGCACAGCCCAGCCCACAAGCGTCCTCCTGGCCGCTGGCCCCGCTCCCCTCCTCCCGCCCCCACCTCGCCTGGCGCCCCTCACCTGGCCTTGACCCCCTCTCCCTCCGCAGGCTCTTCAGCAGCCTCGGTGAGCTGAGCTCCATCTCAGCGCAGCGCAGCCCTGGGGGCCCGGGCGGCGGGGCCTCCTACCCGGTGCGGCCCGGCGGCCGCTACCCCGTGGCGCGGCGCGCCCCGAGCCCGGTGAAGCCCGCGTCGCTGGAGCGGGTGGAGGGGCTGGGGGCGGGCGCGGGGGGCGCGGGCCGGCCCTTCGGCCTCACGCCTCCCACCATCCTCAAGTCGTCCAGCCTCTCCATCCCGCACGAGCCGAAGGAGGTGCGCTTCGTGGTGCGGAGCGTGAGCGCGCGCAGCCGCTCGCCCTCGCCCTCGCCGCTGCCCTCGCCGGCGCCCGGCCCCGGCCCCGGGGCGCCCGGCCCGCGCCGGCCCTTCCAGCAGAAGCCGCTGCAGCTCTGGAGCAAATTCGACGTGGGCGACTGGCTGGAGAGCATCCACTTGGGCGAGCACCGCGACCGCTTCGAGGACCACGAAATCGAGGGCGCGCACCTGCCGGCACTCACCAAGGACGACTTCGTGGAGCTGGGCGTCACGCGCGTGGGCCACCGCATGAACATCGAGCGCGCGCTCCGGCAGCTGGACGGCAGCTGACGCCCCACTCTCACCCACGTCCCGGCCGCCCTGCCGGCAGGGCCCCCACCCCACCCCCGGGCCGCGGGCTCGGCCCGCCCCTCCACGGCGCCCGGGCCAGGAATGTTGCATGAACCGTCCTGTTTGCTGTCGCTCGGAGACTTGCCCTGTACATTGCTTAGTGCCCTCCCCGGCCGGCGAGCCCCCCAGCACTCGGCCAGGAAGGGCGCGGGCCAGAAGCTGGAGCGAGAGGGGTCGGGCGTGGGGTGCTCCTGCCGGCCATCTCCCGCACAGCTCCTGGTGGCTACTCTCCCAGAGGGGGGACCTAGTCCAGCATGCAAGGTCAGGACACTCCTTGATGACTGGGGGGTGGGGGGAGACATTGGGGTTCTTGGTTGGGGGCCAAGGAGCCCCCTGTTTTGCATATTTTAATCCACTCTATATTCGGAACGAGAAAAGGAACAAATATCTCTGTCCTTAATAGCGTCCCCTCCCCTTCCCTCCAGCCCCCTACTGGTTTCGCTGTGGCTGCCCAGTCTTCCATCTCTGGCCCCTCACTGCCACTGCCACCCCACATGGTGGGGGGGGACACTCCAGCTGGTCTGGGGTTGGCCAGGGTCCTAGCAGCCCGCCCTGGGGCCCTGGCTCAGCCCTCTCCCCTCGCTGAGCTCTGTGTGCCCCACGACCCTTCAGGTGCTGCGTGGAGGAGGGGCAGCAGGCAGCGAGTCCTGCTGGGCTCTCGCAAGGTCAGGTGGCCTGGGAGACCATGGCCCTGGGTGGGGCAGGGCCCTGACACCCGCCCCTAGCCATCTCCCTTACAGGGCCTCTCCCCAGGAGGGGTCTAGCCTCCTTCCCACACTGTCGGGCAACCACAGAGAGATGCCTCTCTGCCTCAGACCCCAAAGTCTCCTGTCCCCGCCCTGTGTGTGTGCACATGTGCGAGTGTGTGAAACTCTGGGTGTGCCTGAGTGCATCGGAGCCCTGCGTGTGCCTGAGTGGGGAGCGGTCCTGAGGGGCCCCTCTGGACTAGTGCGGGGGGCTTCGTAAGTGTGCTCAGGGTGCGTGCCTGTGAAAGCTCCCGTCTCCACTCCAAAGAAAGTGACGCCATCCCGCACCCTGGGACCTGCTGTTTGCCCAGAGCCGAGCCTCCCCTGAGCGGGCTTCCCTGGTGAAGCCCTGCTGTTTGGGGAGGCCCCTGGGGCCATGGAGGCAGTGCCTCCATCAGGCTTCTGAGGGGTCCTAGGGAGACCCCTAGAGTCAGGCCACCGCAAGCCCTGGGGAGAAGCAGAGACCCCTGAGGGCACCCCAGCCCCCCTTACTGTGACTCCTCACACTCAGCAATGACCTGTGGGGTGGGGGGCTCTGGGACGTTTTTAAACCTAGGGTTTGGAGTCTGGACTAAGCTCCATCCACGTCACTCACAAGTTTCTGTTTATATTTCTAGCTTTTTTTAATAAAAAAAAAAAAACCAGAAAAGAGAAGTTTTCACAGCCCAGGGGCCTGGCATGCCGGTCTGTGCCCGCCCACCCCGCCCGGCCCACCGGCCCCATTCCTTGGCAGAGTCACACCCAGTAACCCTTTCACTAACAGACCAGGTCACACACACAGCAGCAGTCACTGTAACAGACTGCCACATACACACTCAGTCTCACACTCACCTGTGGGTTTTTGGTTCCGTTCAATTTGGGTTTTTAACTTTACAGGGTCAGTTCCGCTTCACCCCTCCTTTTGTATGGAGTTCCATCTGGGGAATTTCACCCCTGCTCCAGTCCTGAGGCCTCCTGACCCTGACGTTGTGATACACCCCACAGAGATCTATGTTTCTTATATTATTATTATTGATAATAATTATTATAATATTATTATGTAATAAATTTATAAGAAATGAAACTTTCTCAGCTGCCTGTTTGAGGAGATGCCGGGAGCACAAACCCTGCTGCCTCTTAGCCAGGTCACAGGCCCCAGCCTTGGTGTGCGCATTCGGCCCCATGCACTGGCGACGCATGTCCCTGTGACCCGGTCTCTTGGCTGACCTCCGTGCCCATGCGCCTGGCTCCTCCTCGCCCCGAGTCCTGCGAGGCCCCCTGCCATGTGCCCAGCTCACCAGCTAGAAGCCCCTGTCTCCAGTGTCCACTTGTTTCTAAACCCTGCTGCTCCTGTCTTTGAGCCTCTCATGTCTGTCCCTGTTGTGCTGACCCCAGGGCTGCCGACCATGTTCAGGCCTTACTTCTCCCTGAGTAGGCAGCCATGTGCCATTGGCCAGTGATGTGGCAAGTCCTGTGTGGCACCTGATGGTGCTCAGTCGGCCCACAGGAAGGGCAGAGGTACCTCGGTGAGTGGAAGGAGGATGAACAGTGAGGTGAGAGGGTGGACACTTTCCCGCTGGGTGGGCAAAGGAGACCCAGAGGGACGCATGACAGGGTGGAGATGGCCGAGCCCAGGACTGGCCGAGGGCCTGGGGCTGCAGACGTGAAACGTCAGGTGAGTCAGACGCCAGTCACCTGAGGGATTTCAGAGGGGCAGTGGAGGCAGAGTTTGGCCACACTGGGTCAGGATGAAGCGTGAATGTGACACAGTGAGGAATTCAGACCTTAACTCAGGTTGTATCCGAGCCAGGGGTGAGGCCAGTGGGTGACGCCCCAGGAGGGCATGCTGATCCCAGAGGGAGCAGGAAGGGTCAGTGGGGAGGAGAGGGTGGACTCAGGTGTCTTCACCCAGAGGAGGTGGGGAGGCAGGGGCGCTTTGAGGAAGCATGTGGAGGTCTGGATGGCCTGGTAGGAAGCAGCAAAGGCCCTTGTGAAGGTGGGACAGTGACTGTTCCACCGTGGGACCTTGAGAGCCTCACAGTCTTGTCTAGAAAGCCCCACAATTTCAAATTTTCAACATTTTCAATTTTTTTTTTCATTGTCAAGCTAGAAACTGGTCTTCGTACAGAAGTGACTATGAAGGAAGTCAAGGAGTGGGGCATTGGGAGGGCCCGAGCATAGGACGGAGGGGGACCCTGACTCCCTCCAGGCCTGAGCACTGTGGCATTAGATGGCTTGGTGTCCCTGTGAGCTGCACTCGGAGCCCTGGGTCTCTGGGACTGGGACCACGTGCAGAAAAAGAAGGTGGCTCGCCTGCCATGGAGATGGCATGGCCCACTCTGGCTCTCAGGGGAGTGGGGAGAGAAGGTGAAATTCCCACAGGTCAGAAGCTACACCCATGCTCTGGAGACAAGTCGGAACCCTCAAGGTCTGGACCGGAGGAACTTGCGAGGGGACATAGAGCAAACACAGCTCCAAGTTCCAGACCCACCGAGCTGCAGCCCACAGATGCATCCGTCAGAGGCATCGTCACTCAGGGCCCAGCATCCCTTTCCTCTCTGGTGTCCTCACGACCTCAGAATGTTCCAGCTGTACCCTCTCAGGGGCCCTAAGCAACATTCCAACACTGTCTCAGCAGCCTGGAGCCGAGGCTGCACCCCTCCCTCACTATGTCACCCCAAGGTTCTATGGACAACTCCGGGTGGGGCCCTTGCAGAGACCTGGCTCTGCAGAGGGCCATGCAGGAGAGCAGTGGGGTGACAGAGACAGGAATGGGAGAGGCGACATAGGGACAGGTAGGAACCACAGGGGGTTAGGGACGAGGGTGAGAAAGGGTGGGGGCAGCAGCTGGAGAGGCACGTGTGGGTGGGCGCCTCACCAGCCGAGTCAACTGGGACCCCAGCCTCTGGCTTGAGAGTCCTGACTGACCTTTCCTCCTCCCGCCCTCACTCCTGGAACCGTGTGGAGATGTCTGCTGCTTCCATTAGTTTTGAGGACAAAGTTAAACCTTAGTGGGCCACGTGCCAACCCTCCATCCACTATTGTGGCCGAGGACAGGTGGGAAGACTGGTAGCCCCTTCTAGAATCAAAAGCAGGTGCTACTTTGCAGAGTCCAACCATTGTATTCTAGAATCTAGACGCTGGGTCTTCTAACTTTATTTTTGCATAACCCTGAATGTTCTGAAAAAACTAGATACTGCTGTAAATTTTGAGGTTTATAGCTAACATTTTCGTCATATGTTTAAATACTTGCAAAGTTGTGATTGCAAGAAAATTGTACATATTAACAATTCAAGTAAATGGTTACATCATTCTGATAAATGATTCTCATGGATCTAAATACCATATCAATTATCTGCCCATCAAAATCCTGTAGAAACACCTGGATCAGTCTTTCTGTAGCAGCCAATACTGTAATATCACTTCCTGAATCTTTATTGCCATTCCTTAAACTATATTTCCAAAGTCTATTCTAGTTACTTGATCAGGCACAATCCAATAAAGCAAGGGAGGCCTCGTAACACTTGGAAGGCAAGCTGCAGTCTGTTAATACTCAGGTTGGTGAAGCAGGACCCTCAGTTAGAGCAGGTGAGGCCGTGTGACATGAAGGTGACAGGGAGAGAGAGAGGAAAAGAGAGACCTTGGGCACTGGCACAGGGGAGAAGAGGCCTCACTGAAGCAAAAGGAACATCCCCATCCCTGGATGCCCCGGAATGGGAAGAAAGAGGTCCCACATTAGTCAGCCCTGAAGCCTTACACTTGGAAGAGACGGGGTCCTCCTGACACGTGGGCAGCAGAGATGAAAATCTTGTGACACTCGGTAGTTGGTATTATCGAGACCTGATTGCATTTATCTGGGGAATTGAAGCCTCTTGCTTGGCGGAAAAGAAAATAATGCATGTCAGAACTCAAAGAAGGGCATTAAACCATCTTGCCACACGCTGGGGGATGAGGCCTTGTCACTCGCTGGTGAACAGAGGTGAGAGATCTTGGCCCAGTAATAGGACAGAAGAGACCATCTGACCTGCAAGGAGAGTAGATCTGATGACACTCATGTCAAGAAAATGATAGCTTCTCGACAGTCAGGTATGTGAGATGAGGTCTCTGGACTCTCCTCCAAAGAAAACGAGATGTTCAGACGCTTGGATAGAATAGTGGAAATGCCTGACACTCAGTAGGGAAGACAAGATCTTGGGAGATGTGACATGCTTACACTAATGTGGGGGAGACGAGACCCCTTGGTCACTTAGAGAGAAGAGCTGGAACCTCCAGATGTAAGCAGAAGAGAGGCAATCTCCTAACACCAGGTGGAGGAGACCCTAGGGTAGGGCATAGAAGAGCTCCTTGCACTCAGATAGGAGATAGGAGGTTTCATGACCCTCAGATAGGAGAGATGAGACCTCAAGTCACTCAGGAAGGGGAGGGAAAACCTTTGGACTCTCAGGAAGGGAGAACTTCGCACACATACAGGTTAGAGGGGACCTGTGGTCCTCAGGGAGAGAAGACAAGCTCCTGACATTCAGGTATGGAGATGAGACTACTCTCAAGTAGGGGACAGGAGACTTCCTGGGGTAAGGTGGGGACATGCCAGATTGGCAGATGAACCCTCAGAGTGCTCATGCAGGTGAGATGTAAGCACTTGACATGCAGGTAGAGGACGTGAGACCTCCTGGCTCTCGGGTAGAGAAGATGTGACCAGTGACACTCAGGGAGTGGAGATGAGCCCTTTGGCCCTGCCATGGAAGGAAAGAGACGTCCTCACATTCAGGGAGTGAAGGTGCCAGCTCCCTGACACTCAAGACCTCCTGGATGTTCAGTTGAAGGGGGTGTGAACTCCTGAAAGTTACGAGATGAGACGGTATGACAGTCAGTCAGAGGCTGTACTCAGGTGGAGGACTCAAGACTAGCTGACAATCTGAAAACCCTTCCCACTCAGGACGAGGACATGAGGTGTCCTGACACTCGGGAAGGAGAGGTTGGGCCTGTCACCCTAAGATATATGGGGTGCAATCTCATGACACTCAGACAGGCTAGTTGAGACCTTATACTCAGATAGAGGAGGTAAGACTGCCCTTCATGCAGGTGGAGGTATGGCCGCCTCACACACTTGAAGGGAGGTGAAGGATTTTAACACTCAGGTATGTGCAGTGAGCACTTGTCATACTCTGGTAGATGACATAGTGTCTCCTCTGACACTCAGAAGGACAACACCTTGGTCCCAAAAAAGAGACCTGGACACACTCAGGTAAACAACATGAGACCTGTGACCCTCAGCATTGGACCAAGGAAGGTGGGCTTTGAAGTCCTAAATTCGGGACATTCAAAATGACTCTTTGAAATGTACGCTAAGGGCACCCACTTGCCAACAGCATGTGGTATTCAGGATCTGTCTACCTGAGCCTCAGTCCCTTTAACCGCTAACACCCTGCACCATCTTGTCACAGAGGAGCTGAGTTGGAATAAGGACCGTGGTTATAGCTTGCCTGGTGGCAGACCCGAGACCTGCACAAAGCTCAGGGGATGGGGGACCTCAGAAGAGCAACTGGGAATGATGATCACGGGAGGGTCTTGGGACAGAGGGAGGGGGCTGCATCCCCATACCCTCCACCCCCACCCCAGGGGAACCTGTGCATGAAGCCAGGAAGTCATTGCCCAGCCTGCCTGCTGGCGGTGGGGGTGGGGGCTGCCCTGCTGATTGGCCAGGAGGCCCTGGAGCTTTGTGAGGTCACGGGGCTTCCAGGCCAGGCTGGGTGGGAGTATGGTAGAGATGCTGCCAACTGCCGTTCTGCTGGTCTTGACAGTGTCTGTAGTCGCTAAAGAGAACACCACGTGTGAGTAAGTGTCAGGGACACCTTGATAGGAGAATAGCAGAGCCCACCCAGACTGCCTCTGTCCAGGGCTAGAGAGGCGGCCATGCTTGGGCCTTACCAGTCCCCCAGGTCTCACAGCTCTTGTGACCCACATCCCCAACTCAGACCCTCCCTGCTCCTGGCACCCTCAGCCCAGAGCCCCCAGGACCCCAGCTGTCTATGGCTTCCTCCTGAGACACACCCCTCAGGTCCCAGGGCTCCCCTAGCCCATGCGTACAGTGGCCGACCTCACTGCCTCTTGAACATCAAATCTTAATTCTCAGGAGCCCCCGTCCTCCCACAGATATGAGAGGCCTCAACCTGTGGCTGACCCCAAAGGCCCCCCGGGCATTGTCAGCTATACTCTAGGACCTTCACTCCACCTGTCAACCCCCACGGCCCTCAGTGCACTCCCCATACCTGGGGGCCACTGTGCCTCCTGCAGCTACTCTCTCTCCTGTCACTGTCCAGCCCAACCCTGCAACCGCAAGGCTGGTTCTGAAGACTTCAGGCCATCACACTCTCCACTCCTGCTTTTAGCCCGCCCTCTGCCCAGGGATCTCCCACACTTCCAGGGCCCCCCACTTTCTCCACCTGTGGCCACACCCACAAGACCCAGGAAATCACGTACCCCTTACCACCATCTCCTGGAGCCTGAGGCTTCCTGCCGCGTCTCAGCCCCCTGGCCCCACCCTCAGCCCCTTTGACTGTGTACACTCGGGTTCCCTCATGTTCCCAGAGCCCCACTGTACCAGCCTGGGTCCCTGCGGCCCCTGGTGTGCCTGTTTGGGTCTGACTGTGCCCCGCTCTCTCCGCAGTGGCCCCTGTGGGATCCGGTTCAGGCAGAGCCCGCAGGGGGCCATGCGTATTGTGGGTGGCCAGGCTGCAGCTCACGGGGCCTGGCCCTGGATGGTCAGCCTCCAGGTCTTCACTTACCACAACAACCGGAGGTACCACGCCTGCGGGGGCACCCTGCTGAACGCCCACTGGCTGCTGACCGCCGCCCACTGCTTCAGGAACAAAAAGTACGTGTGGGGCCGCGTGGAGGACAGTCTGTAGACGGGGCCCTTCTCCAGGGGCTGCACGCTGCACTGACTGTGAGCGGCTGGCTCAGGCCTCACCAGGGCAGGCTCTGAGGGCCATGGGCACTGGGGGTCTGGGGCAGCCCGCTCACCATGATGGTGACCAGCTGCCCTCGGTGCCCACAGGAAAGTGTATGACTGGAGACTGATTTTCGGGGCCAGGGAAGTGGAGTATGGCAGCAACAAGCCAGTGAAAGCACCTGCACAGGAGAGATACGTTGAGAAAATCGTCATTCATGAGCGATACACAGCCGGGTTGGAGGCCAACGACATCGCTCTCCTGAAGATCACACCCCCCATTGTCTGTGGGCACGTCACCGGCCCCGGCTGCCTGCCCCAGTTCCGGGCAGGCCCACCGAGGGTCCCCCAGACCTGCTGGGTGGCCGGCTGGGGATTCTTAAAAGAGAACGGTGAGTATGGGAGAGGCTCCAGGGGGCACTGCTGGTCACTCCCTGTGGACTTTGAGGAGCAAGGGCAGTATGTTGATGCCTGGCTGAGGGCCTCTCAGGTCCAGCATGGTGTATGAGGAGGTAGGCCCTGCCACGGCCCCTCTCACAGCAGGAGGAACAGGGTGAGAGTTCCCTGGGCACGGCCACACCTGGTGACACGTGTGGTCATCTAAGGGCAGGCACAAAGACAACCTTGGCATTTTTACAATGGGGTCAAGGCCGCGTCTGTACCCGGGGCCTGGAGCCCAGGTGCCATGTTCTGGAAACGGGGACACAGCACTCGGATGGCGTTCTGTGGCTCGAGGCCAGTCCTGGCTTTCTCTGGGCCTCAGTTTCCCCATGTGTGAATGGGGCAGATCACACGGTCTCCAGGCTCTGAGGTCCCAGAGGCCAGCCCTGCTGCCCCCACCCAGGCCTGGCGGTCATTGCACCCAACCCATCCCACCCATCGGAGTTGTTCTGAGGTTTCTCCAGACTGGGAGAGGGGCAGCTGGTGGGCTGGCTTTCTGCGGTCAGCAGTCGGCAGCGAGGGGTTTGCCAGTGGGGCAAGACCAAGTAGGAGGGGCCTCTGTGTGAGCTGTACTCTTAGCCTTCCACATTGGTCGCATGAATTGTCACCGAGTCACCTAAAGGATGTGAAAACATGATCAAAATTAACTTAGCTCTCGGTCTCTTCTGTTCCTTGACAATGGAAACCTTAGGCTTCCTAGTTCAAGGCAGTTCAGTCATTTGAGATTAAAACCACGTCTTTTTTGGTAACCAAAACCCAGTAATTTCAGGATTCTTCCTTGGGGCTCAAGTCCTCCCGTCCCACCCGTTCAGCATCCCCCACCCCCACCCCCACCAGGTTGCCCTGCTCTGCCCACCTGTCCAAACAGGGCCCCAGCTTTTGGGGGCTCTTGCAGTCTTTGGGAGGCTGATGTCAGGGTTCCCACCTGGAAGACTCCCCATTTTTGTGTAGGAGGAGGGTAGGCTCCCAGCTACGTCTTGGACAACATGCAAGACCTCTGTGGTTCTAGAATCTCTAAATTGAATGCGATTTCTGTCATTTGTGAGCAAACACATCCCCGACCCCCAAGGCCATGTCTTAAGAAAACCTCCAGGCTCCAAGCTGCTAACGCCTTTGAGACCTCCCTTTCCCGCTTCCTCCCAGGACGCCTGTGCTCTGGGGTAGGACAAATACTTCTAGGGTAGGGGTCCTTTTCCCATTGACATTGGAGCTTCTGCAGACTTCTTCAGCATTTGTCATTTAAAACTGAGGTGCTAGGAATGCGAAAACCCTTCTCTGTTTCAGGATATCTGACTTTTAACCATGAAACCATGGCTTTCAAGACTAGGCTCTGCGCCAGCTCTGAAAGGGTCGCCTTAATGGCTAAGAAGCCAGGCTTGTTGTCAGATTCCAGCGACACCCTTACCTCAAGGGCAGTGCATGAGCACAGTGCTCCAAAGGCAGGGAAAGGCGGGGCTAAAGGGATCAGGTGCCTAACGCCACACAAACACACATTCAGCAGCCGTTTCCCAAATGCTCTCGGAGTGCCCAGCCCTACCCCCGAGACTGCACGTGATCCTGTCTTCCTGTCCCCCACCAGGTCTGACCTGTCAGCCCCCATCTGTACTGCAGATGGCGTCAAACCCACCCACTTGGGGGGCCAGAGCAGCCGCTGCTGTCAGGACCCTTCTGTCTGTGGGACCAGCTGTCCTAGAGGGGACAGCTGATCGGCTTCAGGACTCTAAGCCAGATGGGGGGCTGGTGGTGCAAGCCACAGCACAGGCTCCTGACACAGTGTGTGACAGAATAGATAGGACGCACGTGGGGCAGGACTCACCAGCCCAACCAGGGCACATTGTCTGCAGTGAGCGGATGAGTCCTGACAGGGGGTACAGGCAGGGAGGGAGACTTATAGTCAGACTGTGAGGCTTGAAAGGTGTGCCCTGGGCTTGAGTCTAGAGAGGGGAAACCTGGGTCCAAGGCCAAGTCACATCACATCCCACTGTGACCTTGGGCAAGTGGTGCTCACCCTCCCTGCGGGACAAAAGGGCAGTGACAGCACGAGGCGGTGAGGTTGCTGCAAGGAGTCGATTAGATGGTGGCTGTGTGGCCCAAGCGAGTGGTCAGCACACACTTATGTAATGGCGTATGTCACCGCGAAGCCCCATGACCCACCGTCTACTACCCCTCCCTGTGCCCTCGGCCCCTCGTCCGTATGCATCCGCTGGTCCTTCCACACCCACAGCATCCCTGTGCCTCAGCCCCACTCGTCAGGTGTGCATTTCCTCCCCTTCAGGAAGGAGTACACGGGACAGGCCAGGGCCACTGACTCATAGGTCTGGGCTCAAATGGAACGGTACAGGACACGGGGTCAGCGGCGGGAGGAAGCAGGGCTCCCCAGGCGTGAGCGGTGGTGACCCCTGACCCAATCGCCCCACTGTAGACTACAGGACGTCGCCTGTGCTGCAGGAAGCCCGCGTGGAGCTCATCGACCTGGACCTGTGCAACTCCACGCAGTGGTACAGCGGCCGCATTCGCTCCACCAACGTGTGTGCGGGGTATCCCGAAGGCAAGGTGGACACCTGCCAGGTAACCACCCTAGTGCCCGGCCCTGCACACCTCCTCTCGCATCCTTCAGCTTCACACCTGCAGGGCCTGCCCTTGTGACCCTTTCTCTGGTCCCATAGCTACAGTCATGATAAGGAGGGGTGACACCCACCAGCTGCCCCTACAAGAGCCAGCCACCACCTGCAGAGCCTTCTCCCACCCTAACACAGAGATCACGTGGCCCGACACTGCCTCTGTATGTCTCTTCCCCAGAATACAAACCTTTATACTCACGGTACACACACGCTGCTGCGTGCACGTAAAGCCACACACATGGGCACCATTTTACTTGTCTTCCCTCCTCACTGCAAGGAAACCCACGACCATGCACAACCTTCACACCTTGACTCACTGTTGGTACCACCTCAAACTTACTACAACCACCTGTGTTTATGGCAGCAGGAAACCACGTGACTGCTGATAGTGTCCTCCCAGAGCCTATGGCCCCTGTGGGCTGGGGGACAGTGGCTCAGGCAGACAGTGACTCCTGTGTCCTTCTGGGCAGGGGGACAGCGGCGGACCTCTCATGTGCAGAGACAGCGGGGAAAACGCCTATGTGGTCGTGGGAGTCACAAGCTGGGGGGTAGGCTGTGCCCGCGCTAAGCGCCCTGGAGTCTACACATCTACCTGGCCCTACCTGAACTGGATTGCTTCCAAGATCGGGTCCAGCGCCTTGCAAAGGGTTCAGCTGTCCACTCCTTCCCCCCCGACTGCCGCAGCACCTGCTAGACTCCCCTCTGTTAACCCTTCTCTCCACCCTCCTTGGTACTTCCAAGGGCCCCCTCAGCCGCCTTCCCTCCGACCACCTGCACCACGACCCCGGCCCCGGCCCCCGGCCCCACCACCCTCCGCACCGGCACCCCCAGCTTCCACCAAACCTCCCCAAGTTCCTTCCTTTGCCAAGCGACTACAGCAGCTCATAGAGGCCTTACGGGGGAAGGCCCTTTACAATGGAAGAGGCAGTTATGAGACAGAGTCAGCAGACCTCACTGAACTGACCACCTCCTCCTCATCCGACCCCACTGTCAACAGGCCCCACGAACTCTTCACTCTTCAGGGGAAGAAAAAGATGAAATAAATAAATATGTACAAAGGGATGTTTTCTGGACTCCTTACCTGCCTTCCTCCACTCCACCCAAACCCACATCAAATATAACCTCCCTCCCTTCACCCTCCAATGGGGTGGAAGTGCTTGTATATTAATGTCAATTGTGGGTTTTGTTTTTGTTGTTGTTGTTGTTGTTGTTTTTAGCTGAGCCATCCTGCCACCTGTTGGCAGCTCAGCAGCAGCTGAGCTCAGGCCCAGCATCGAACCGCTGTTGCTCAGAACTCGCACTCTTGAGTGAGCTCTTAACCAATTGAGCCACTCGGCCCGGCCCAATTGTGGATTTTTTTTTAATCCCGATTTTTCAAACTGGGACATGAGCTAGGCATGGTCTTTATTTCACACTCAGCGTCTGTGCACATAGGACTGTGGGTGAGGGCCCTGGAGGCAGCTATTGGGGGTCCACGTGCCCTGGGTGTTTGGTGTGAAGAGAAGGACCCATGAGAGGACTGAGTGAAGAAGGCTGGGTTCCCCAGGACAGACAGGACGACAGGTGGCCGATGGCCAGAACAATGAGTGTCCACCACAAAACGGTTCAGCTCGTGGCTCTGGTGGCAGATTGAACATTGTCTCTTCAAGCTCATTACTGGTCTGTGGTTCAACCCTATTGTCTCTGGATTCAAGCAAATTAGAAAAACTAGTATTTGCAAAAGCTTTCCAGGGATAGCGATGTGGGATACGATTAGGACAGGTCTGAGTGAGTTTTGGGAGTACTTATTTTAAGATCTTCCATTGCAAGGAACAGAAACCAATTTGAGCTGTTTGAGTGAGGATGGGAAATTTATGTATTGTAAGGATACAAAGGTGTCACACAGAACTGGTAGGGAGGACCAGGAGCAGACACCAAGAACGGAGGAGCCTGGCAGGTGAAGCTTTCGCAGAGTGGCCGCTGATGCTCAGTCTACATGGCCGCACCTCCCCCCCGCCCCCCGCGTCCCCCGCAAGTCCAGAGTCTGTCCTCAACCAGAACTGCTCATGCTCATTTGCAAATTCCAGGGAAAGAAGTCCTGAGGGGTTCAGGTCAGTAGCCCACTGTGGTCAAGGCGAAAGTCAAACTTTACTGTCTGGTTAGCTCCTTGTGGGTGGGGACAGGGGCCCCAGAAAGAAGACACCTGGATCGGGCGGAGCCACTGTGGCCAGCACCCACTGTCCTCTGTGTTCAGCAAGCCGTCTGTGTGTCCAGCGCAAGACGGTCCTGGAGAGAAGGTGCAGGATCATGTGACAGGAACCCCGGCGACAAAGCAGAGGGGCTGGGGCTGGAAGGAAGGCTGGTGAAGCAGCCCCAGGGCTGCGTTTTCGGGTCTGGTCAGTCTGCCTGGCTGGAGTAAACCCGCTGCCTGGGTGACCTCAGCAGGCATGTGGCCAGAGGGCGGTGTGAGCTCAGATGAGGGCGGTTGCAGTCGTTCAGAGCAAGGCTGACACACTGTTCGTGCTCATGAGCGTGGGCTGTTGTTTGGAGCCGGCTGGTGGTGAGATGCTGGACTACCTGAAGTTTACCTGCAAGGGGCGCTTATGGCCCCGGAAATGCCTGGGCCACGTACTGCATATGGGTGAGTGACCCACAGCTCTGCAGTTTGGCAACATTTGCTTAAATTAAAAAAACAACTTCTACCTGCCTTGGCTAAGAGCCAGCACCACTAGAATGGGAGCTGGCATGAATGTTCGTTCCGTTGGTTTTGGGCTTCCTCTTCTGAAGCCAGTTTCTTAACCTCCCTATTGGGTACCTAATCTTCGTACCTGGTGTCAGACACTAGTGACCCTGTAAAAAAACACTGAACAAAACTCAGTGTGCTGGCCACAGAGCAAGACAGAAGCCACGTGGTGGTGTGAAGACCAGAAATGGTAATGGCAGCTGCTCAGGACTTGCTGTCACCCTCGCGGGCTGAGCCTTGAGCCACAGCCCGGTGGGTTGACCCAAGGGGGCAGTGGGGCCAGGCGCGCTCAGGTGAGGGCGTCAGGTGGCCATGGAGGGACTTTGGACAAGTGGTGGAGTCGCCACAGTGCCAGCAGCTCCCTGTCACCTGCAGGGCCCTCCTTCCTTCTCCTCTGAGCCTTCCGGGGTCCAGACGGACTTTCCAGCCACTGCCCCTCCCCACCCCATTGTCCTCAATTTATCTCCTCTCTCTCCATTGAGGAAGTCCTCTGTGGGTGACACTTTGGTGCCCTTCCTGGGACACAGGGCCCACCCACACTCAAGGAATAATCTGACGGGAGGCTGGAGACGGGGGCCTACAGAGTCCAGGTGAGAGCTTCTTGTCCTTCTGAAACGCCCCGCACATGAGAATGCACTTACACGTAATGGAGCCCCGTTCTTACTTCCCACTGTTCACACTACTCCATGGCTTCCTTTCTCATCCAGCAAATGTAGAGATATTTTCATATGAGCACATATGACCCCACTATCTCTGAGTTACATCTCACAGCAGGAATTTTCACGAGACGCATTTCCTTCCTAGCAGGGAACAGCTAGTCTTCTGGCTTGGCCTTCCCTCCGTGTACCCAGTTCTCCACCTCCAAGCACACACTGGTTCATATCAAACTCATCAATCTTAGCAAGTCTAAGAGATGTTCTAATTTTCATTGTTAAAACTGTGAATGAAGCTGTTATAAGTGCAGCAACAATCACTGATCTGCCTTCAGGCCCCTGTAGATGGTCTAACTTTGAAAATGGCTTACAGGCCCTGGAGCAGATCTTCCTGAGCACACAACAGGGAGGGGGACAGAGAAGAAATGACAAGCCGTGCAGTGAGCCAACCAAAGGGCGTCACAGCCCCTGAGGGACATGCTCATTGGGTCCCTGAGGGATGGTTAGGCAAGTGGTCCATGTTTTCAAAAACAGAATTCATAATGGGCCTTAACACCAGGAAGTATGACAGAAGTTGGTTTGATGACAGCTAAAAGTGCTCTTGGCAAAACTCCCACACCAGAGGAGTGGGCATGTCAGGAAGACACGCACTAACGACACTTAGAGAGGAAGAGCTGATGGTGATTTCATCCGTATGCAAAATCTCATATATGCCAGGAACAAACATCTCAATGAGCACAACTGCAGTAACTTTGAATGGAAATGGAAAAAATGGAGGTAGTTAATCTTTAATGTGTAGAAACAGGTTACCTCAGTGGGGTTTTCTGCGGAGACTGTATTCTTGGTAAAGACTCGGCGATGACCTACTCCTGGACACGTAGCTGAGCCTTTGCAGAGATGTGTGCTCACGTGTCTCTTGGCTAACTACCTATGTGTGCAATGGCTGCATCACATGGCAGGTGTATGTGTAGCATTTTTAACAAAATGCCAAGGGCCCCCCGGGTGGCTCAGTTGGTTAGAGCGTGTGCTCTGAGCAACAGCGTCGCCGGTTCGATTCCCATATGGGCCAGTGAGCTGTGCCCGAGCTGAGCTGCCACTGAGCTGCCAATGGGTGAGAGCACGTGCTCTTAACAACAAGGTTGCCGGCTGGACTCCC